TGTACGACAAAATCTACTACCGTAAAACCTGTTATAGAAGAGCTCCCTAACTTTTAACTTTGCGCCCAATTCTTATTTTGAGCTCAATTATCTCGGTATTTGTGAAAGATATCAAAAAGTTGTCCACTGATGAATGCTTATCATAATATTACAAGAGTTCTATCAGTTAATAAAATTTTCACTGAAAATACGGGAAATTGATAAACTTTCGGACATTACAACATCATCTAAGAATCCCTTCATCTTCAAAATTTTCTACAAAATTTAGACGTGACTTTTCGTTATTATTTCAAAAGATAATATGCAATCTGAAAATCCAATCTGGAAAAATTAACAATTTAAAAATCAAATGGCTGCGGTAATTTAATTTTTTTTATATAATAGAAACAAGTTAAAGCGGAAGTACTCTTGCAGGAAATTGTATTTTGATCTTGAGAATTTATTAAAAAATACGTTCTCTGTTTCTTAGAAACAAAAAAGGGTACGGTATCCTAAGGCTTCAAAATTATCCGATTACTCATCGCTATAATTTTTCTCTCTCTCTTTCTCTTCTTTTATTTCAATTTCAATTATGAAACATTCAGTCTAAAAGTGTCCTCTCTCTTTGTTTCTAATTATCCGATTGTTCCAACAAACTTTCCCTCTCATTTCTCTCTCCGTCTCTTCATCTCCAACACTCTCTCGTTTCATTATATTTGAGAAAAGTGTCAAAAACGGAGACTTTGCTCATTGCACCATCTCGTCTAAACAATTTTCCATGTACTTTAACCTTCAAACAACTTTGTTTTCCTAGAACTAACCCAGTTTTCTTAATTAATTTTGATTTCTAAATCTTGGACACGAAAGTGTAAAAAAAATATATATAAATAAATATTCAATTGTGTATATGCAATAGGTTGTTAGTGACGGCCAACATTATGAAATTAGGATTTGATTGATTTTTTGATTTTTCCAAGAATTCATACTTGAAAACTAGGTTGTGGTTTAGTGTTTCCGTGCTAGTTTAATCTTAAAATTGGAGGTCGTTAGTTGTTTCTTTTATTTTTCTTCTGACTTCTTCTTCTTCTTCTTCTGAATTTAATATTCTTCTATAACACCTTCCAGAGACTAAACAGTGATCTTACTATTAGAAGATTTATGATTTGTTAGTTGTCGGAACTACTATTTTCGGTTAACATGATTTTCGATTTATGATTGAGAAGTAACACTTCTTCTGATCAGAATGAAGTCAAAAACGTTTCCACATTTCCTCTTACAAATAATCAAACCGTCAACTTTGAGCCCCTGTATCTAAGTCCCTGTCGAAGATATCTGAAAGTGGTCAACTGATAAATTGTTTATCATAATATAGCCAATATTTTATCAGTTAACAGATTTTTAATATCTCTCATGTAAACCGAGATGAATTTGCGCAAAGTTAAAAGTATGGGACCTTTCTATTACATATTTTTTCGGTAGTGATCGATTCGATGTTTTAGGTGTACTGTACTTCAGAATTTTGCATTGAAAGTTTCAATTTGAAACCTTCAATAGCGACTTTGTGAGAATAACCCTGCAGATTAGTAAGTCAAACTTTTGTACCCAAGGTCATTCACTGAATTTTCCAAAAAAGTGGTCTGCTTTTTTTCGACTTTTTCGTTCAACTGTCTCAATTTTAAGGAGAATACCCCTTGATCTTCAATTTTGAATCAAATTTTTTCTTTCAAAAATCATACAGTTTTCAAAGAATTCGTCATTTTACCCCGCTCACTTTTTCCTAACAACTCTAGCTTACAAGGGAACCATGTTTAGCCTTCATCTCAGAATTTTTTCTAAATTTGCCCATTTATAGTTTCAAATACGGGCTTTCCTGTGGTGTATTCGGTTTTCTGCACAAATTTCTAGAAGCCGAGAAAAGTCCATCTGAAAATATGCTGTTTTTTTGGTCTCCTTCCCTTCCACTTTCCCCCTTTCTTCTATATTCTCCACTGTGGAAGAAACGAGCAACAGTGGCCGAGTGGATAGTGGGGACGAATAGTAATATATTAATATGTTATAACAAGTTTGGGGTTCGATTCCGTCACTGTCCATTTTCTTTTTTCTTTTTTCTTTGATGTTGGAGGAATGCTTTGAACTTTTCGAAAATCAAAACTATGTTTGCTCTATTATTTCAGTAGGAAAAAGCTCGAAAAAGATAATTTCTGAAAAAATTCTTGAAGCACTGCTGAAAAGCCTTATCTACTCAAAATGTCAGTCGAAATTCCCCTATTTGATCATATTGGTTGCGGAACTGTTATAAATAAGTCAAGAATTATGTAAATCTATGTTTTCACAATATTTGAGTGCTATTGGGTGATTTTCGAAGGACTACGATTCATTGGAGTTTTGGAAGAAATCACTTATTTCGGATTTCAAAACGGTTATAGGCTACAGAATCTTGTGAAAAGACTCATTTTATCATTTTTATGCGTTTAGAATTCATTTTAGCACATTTAAAAAATTTTCGAAAAATTGAAAATTTCGCAAAGGGCATGGCAAACCACCATACCCATGCCCAAACCAAAACCAACCCATACCCATGGCAAAAATTTTTTCAAAAAATTTTTTTTTTTGAAAAAAGAGGAAACTTTGTCAGATTGTAGAGAAACCTTTAAAATTACGATTGACACTCAAACAATGCCAAAAAACTCCTATTAACCCTTTCAAAAACTCACTCCAAAAATGAGAAATTAGTACTGAAATCACTTAAACAGTCCATAACTCGACTTCTAGAAATTTGTGCAGAAAACCGAATACACCACGAGAAAGCCCGTATTTGAAACTATAAATGAGCGAATTTAGAAAAAATTCTGAGATGAAGGCTAAACATGGTTCCCTTGTTAGAGGCTTTAGACCAATAAACTTACCGTAGTCTTCCGAAAAAATTCCAAAACACCAAATCACGATATCTATGCTCCAGTTTCATTTAATCTAAACTACACCTTGATTCTATTTGTTACTCCTATTTACGCATTCAAAAAGAGTTCATAGAGTCGGGGCTTCTCCATCTGTCCACTTGATTGAGTTATATACATGGAAACAAGGAACAACTCTTTCCTCTCCTTTTCCGAGTTTTTTGCTCTTTAGGTCACTTTGTATATTAACTCGAATTAGACAAGCTTTTTTTGTGGGAATGTGCTTTGACCGGAAGAAAATCTTTTTTGGAAGTTTCAAGATTTTCGGAACTCATTCTGAAACGTTTGAAAGGAATTGAGTTAGGAGTAGTGTATTCTGATTTTGGTTTTTTCTTATTTATAGTTACCGCTTAAATTTGAGAATTTTCCTATTTTGAAAAATATATAAAAAGAAGTTCCTAAAACGAGTCATATTTTTTTGATACCAGTTTTTTCATTTAAGGAATTTTACTCCATTATTTTCGTCATTTTAACATGAACATCTAATTAATTTTTGAACTAAATACAGCAGTGAAAAACCAGCAATATTTTCTTTTCTAATTTCGAAAAAGACCCAGCGTAAAACCTGTAATAGCAGGACCCTCATTTTCAAATTTAGGCTGTGTGGCTTCTATCAGAGGAGTACGGTATTATCTGCAAAGAAAAAATTTTTTGCAGCATCTTTAATTTTTTTAAAATAAACATTTTTTTCAATACCAAAAAAACCTATTCAAAAACATTTTCAAATTAATACATGAACAAATGTAGCTGTCTCATAATATGAATAAAAAAACAGTTCGCCAATCAATAGTATTTTTTGTTGTTTCCCGTATCACATGTTATGTTTTCCATTGCCACGTCATCACCTCATCTGGATGCCCTTTACATTCAAATATACTCTTCATCTCGCTCCCAACTGCCTTGTCCATCAACTTTTATTCTAATACTTTTTCCTTTGTGTCGCCTCGGGCAAATAACTTGATTAACTTCATTTCGACTGCTTCTTCTTGACCACGTGAATGCAAAACATCTTCTTCGGACCATCGACTAGAATTTTTCTTCTGCAGCGAAAAAGATAATATCCTGATTTATGAGGTTTTTGCTAGTAGTACATGAGGCGGTCATAATTTGATTCAATTACCCAAAAAAGAGAGAAAAAGATAGCAGGAGCAAAAAAAAGTAGGGAGGGATATGTAGAAAACAATTGAGAAATGTTGTTTAGGATTTTTCTGAATTTGTTGTTTTTTGTTTTGTAGGATGATGAGTCATAGATGGTAGAAAATTGTGGAGAGTTTGAAAAATATAGTGACAAGAGTTTCTATGTAGTAGGTTATAGAAAACATTTAATTATTATTCTGGCACAAAAATTCTGAGCTGTGGAAGATGAACGTCAGTTTACGTGGCCAAAGGTTCTACAACGAAAACTACCGTAATCTAAAAATATTATTCTCCTAATTTTCTAAAAATTTTAAGCCCTCTTGTCCGTTGTTGCTGACCACCACCCTTCCCCAAAATTTACAACCTTCTATTTCCGATAAATGAAAACCGAGACGAGCCGAAAAGTTTTTTGGAGTTTGATTGGTCACACATCATGCAAATAAAACACACTTTTTTGGGAGGAACTTCTTTATCTAGCGTGTTTTGTCACAAAACATCAGAAAACAATATTCTCTCTCTCTCTCTCTCTCTCTCTCTCTCTCTCTCTCTCTCTCTCTCTCTCTCTCTCCCATTTGTAATAATCCTTTTTCTCTACTTAACATTCCCATTTTCTTTTATCCATGAAACAAATTCTTTTTTCTTCTTCTTCTCTTGTCCCACCAAAAAAAGAGAGAGTCCATTCTAAACTGCTAGATATAATGGAGGTGAAAGTTCGATTCTGCAATTCGATACAACCAAACCCGGGAGGAGCCTCTCTTCCTTTTTTCCCATCCAACAGCTTCTTCATCTCCCCGTTTTTCCATTCTCGAAAAATGGGCGTGGCTTTCCAGAAGTGTTGAAAATCGAGGAGAACGTCTTGTATACGTTTCTGCTTCCTTTTAGTAGATTCACTTCATTAAGAAGACGACAAGAATGCTTTTTCAGATTCTCATGGAAGATGTCGAGGTCATGCAAATTGATCGGATCGCGGCATTGCTTATTTTCTCGGTATGTTTGGTAGCGTAGGTATTCCTAAATAATCGGAAAAGTCTTTATTAGCTTGAGATCCATTAAGTAAAAGCTCTGGAATGCCTACTCAAAAAGTGGGACACCTGTCAAACCGTAAAACCTGTAATATAAGGGCCCCACATTGTCAACGTTGACCTAATTTATCTCGATTACTGTAAGATATATCAAAAATGTGTCAAATAATAAATTGGTGCTGATATTATGGTTCAAAATTTATAATTTATAATATTTTTATACCGATAAAATGTACACAGGTACCGATAAAATCTAGCTCAAAGTAAAATGCTGTAAGGGCTCTAGTACAAGTTTTACGGATTCTCGTTAATAATGGGAATTTTTGATACAATACATTTTGTGTATAGGACTCTGAAACATAGGTTAGTAGTTAGAGAAAAATATGAAACTTTTTGACAAAAAATTTAATCAGTTAAAAAACTTATTATTTTCTCATTTTCCGTCGTGTTTTTTAGTTTACCAGTAAGCTGGTGCGCCTTTGGCGCGATTCAATCTATTTTTTTCAAATGTTCGTCGCTTCGTTTCTCACTTTTTCAAAATAAAAGGGTCACGTAAATATATATGTATTTTTCAATTTCTTCAAAAGTCCACAGATGGACACGATGACGGACAGACGCCTCTAGCGTTTTATTAATAAGGAAGATTTGTTACCAGTGTTATTGTTAATTCAGATGACTCGATAACATGAAATGCCGAACGCAGCGTAGTTTTTAATAAGTTTAGTTTTTTCGACCATATTCTTTTCAGACCGCGTTTTTAAGCCGTATTTCCTCTAATAATAGCCCGCCTTTTACGTTTGCTTGGAGCTCAATTATCTCGGTTTTTGTGAAAGATAAAAAATTTGTCAACTAAACTGTTAAATTTTTTATCATAATATCACCAACACTTTATCTGATGACAAATTTTTTATATCTGTTATAGATATCAAGATAATTGAGCTCAAACTTGACAGTGTGGGGGCTCTTATATTAGAGGTTTCAATATAGTTAATCTGTCTCACTTTTCAATTACACCTGTCATCAGTTCAACAAACCCCAAACTATAAACTTTCTGAAAATTCCAGACAAGTTTTGTCGGATTCGTATGCAACACATTCATCGCCGTCTACATCCGCCGTCTTTCCCTTCTCCGAAACTCTTTCGGACGTCTTCTCCAACTTCAAGCCGCCGGTGACGCCGTTTTCGTTCTAGTCTGGGCTTTCTACTTTGCTCCGGTCCTATTTTTGTGAGCCTTTCCCTTTCTAACTTTTCTTTTTTGTTTCATCTCCACTATTCCTCTAAATGACTCTTTTTTTTCCACTGGTCTAGTCGTTTGACGAAATTCGAGATTTTAGTAGGAGACCGATGATGCCATGAGCGGAAGTGCGACTCCGTCAAGCGTATTCAGTTTCCTTTTGGCTAAAAAACGATATTTACACATGAAAATATTTTTCAGCGACATTAAACCGTTGCAAACGTTGGGAGTGGCATCAAGGTTCGCACAATTGTGTCTGATTTGTTACGATATTTCCATTTACACACATTTGGTCATTTCACTCAACAGGTGGGAAATGAGACAGTTCGAGATGATGAAAATGATTGAAAAAAGACTTGGATTTCAAATATATAAAAAAAGATTCTACATACCGTAAAACCTGTAATTTTTGAGCTGAAATAGTTTGAGCTGGATTATCTCGGTTCATATCAGACATATCAAAATTGTGTCAACTGATAAAATATTTTTCGTATTGTAATGAACAATGTATCAGTTATCAACTTCTTCATACCTTTGACATGAGCTAAGATAAATTGGTTCAAAGTTTGAGCCCCCATACTGTCAAGTTTGAGCTGATATTTCTTGGCTCCTATGCAAGAAATCCAAAATTTTCAGTTGATAAAATATTGGTGATATTATGATAAACATTTTGTCAGTTGGCAACTTTTTGATATCTTGCACAGGGATTCTGACGAAATTCTGATAATGTTGCATAGGAATCCTAACGAATTTGACAGTATGGGGACTCTTCTAGTACAGGGTTTACGGTGGGCTCCAATTAAAAAAGGTTTCAAACTCCAGCATTACTCATAAATTATATGTTGTTATTTTCAGATTCATTTCCCTATACTTCCCAACCAGCTACCAAAACATATTTACCGAAAGATTCACAACAGTCTTAATATGTTCAATTATACTAATTTCTTTTGGTTTCTCCTGGTTCCTGGTGATCGGTATGTGATCGTAGATTTTTTTCTTAAGAAACCATTACTTTTTCAGTTGACTGCAAAATGGGATTCTCTATTCCCAGATGGATGCTTGACTATGTCAGTCCTCCGTGTGAAATGGTCAATGTTTATTATGCCGAATTTTTTAGGTGAGAAAACTTGCATTTTTGAATTTGAATTAAACTAGAAACATCTAATTGTTGTTAGAGCTTTTTGTTTGATTAACAGTTCGCTTAAAGGTGGGGGAACATAAAAAATAATTTTCTGAAGGCGGCAAAATATCAACGCTCTGTGTGAACATTAATCATTGCACACCGTCACGAATGCATACCGTAACTTCAAAAAAAAACTTCGAAAAATCTCCTGTCATCCATCCTATTAATTGATAAAGCTACCGTGTTCGCTCCAATAAAACCCCGCCCACTTTGAGCTCAATTGACTCGGTTCCTATCAAAGATATGAAAAAGCTGTCAGCTGATGAAGTGTTTAACATAATATCAGAAACATTTTATCAATTGCCATATTTTTGACACCTCTCACATGAACCGAGATAATTGAGCTCAAAGTGGACGTATTTGGTCGGCTACTACTACTATTTTTGAAACAAATGATAATTGTTCCTGGAGCTTCCTGACTAACAATTGTCTCGACAAATCGCATTTCCAGAGGTTTGATCGTAATCTCCATGTTCGCCATCACCAATACTTTCACATTCTGTCGAATGCACATGCACAATCGAAAGAAACAATCAGAATCCACGTTCGAAACCACCCAACAAAAGAAAAGAAGAGCTGTTGAAACTGCATTTGTTCAGCAAGTCACACTTCAAGGCTTACTCTACGTTCTCGAATTAGTGACCTATTTCTATATATCCAATTGGTTCAAAGTACCAACAGATGCCAAATCACTAGCCGAATCTTCTAATCGATGGCCAAACTTTTTGTTGACAACGTATGCATGGATTTTGGTTCATGCTCTGGATGGGTGAGTTTTTTCTTCTAACTGGGTGGTGATTTTGCAAAATAATTTTTTCAGAGTAATCACACTAATTTTTAATAAACAATTCCGAAGTGTTCTCCGCCATCCTTTCCGTTCTCAAGCCACCTTAAACGCATCAAAAACTCCATCAAGGTAAGAGAAAAAGAAGGTACATTTTTTCTGTGCTTCCAAAACTTTCCCTCTGTTTACTAACCCATTTCAGAAGTCTTGTTGGCGGCAAAGAAACCACTCCTGTTATTATCTTATGAGAAAGAGAAAATTATTTGTATGGTTACTAGAACTTATTTATATATCAGCAGCCTCTGGCGCTTTAAACAGCTGGCTGGTGCGCCTTTGGCACGGTTCTCTATATATCATATCTCTAAACGGGTTGAAATCGATTGGTTAGTTATCCGAAATCGTGCCGTCTATTCTCCCCCTTTTTATGCTGTCCTTTTCAGTTTCCGTGGCCTAGAAAATCGGCTAAAGAGCAGTAGTATCACATTTCAAAAACAACAAGGACCTCGATGGCCTAACTTTGTGGTTTCCTAGGCCACTCTCTGATACTAAACCATCGCAACCCTATCTATTTTAAAATTTTACCCCCCTCCCCCTCTAACTCAGTTTTTCTGATCAACTATGAGTTGTGATCCTTGAATTTCTCCCAATTTTCAGGCGAAATCGATTTGTGACCAATCGAACCGATTCGAATCGAAAAAAGAGCTCAATTCTTGCGTGTACGTTCATCTCAAACTCAAATACCGGATATGGATCATCAGTTCATGTCTGAATCCTTGTTTTTTAAAAATTAATTTATTGCCTTCTTGATCTCATTCTTTTTGTTGAAAAATCCCCGTTTAAAAATACCGTAAAACCTGTAATAGAAGGTCACCTTCAATAGAAGGTCACCTTCACGAGCTCAATTATCTCGGTCCCGGCAAAAGATATCAAAATTTTGTCAACTGATAAAATTTTTATGGTATTATGATAAACATTTTATCAATTGACAACTTTTGATATCTTTGATAGGTGCCGAGATAAATTGGCTCAAAGTTAGGGGCCCATCTACTACAGGGTTTGATCCCAATATTGTGAAAAAAGTAACAAGTAATCGGTTGACAGCTTTATAAATACGAGTTAAAACATACATTGTTGTTAAAAACACATTTAATAAACATTTCTTGTTGTACTCGATTGAGACCAGATTTCTGAGGAGGAGAATGTAATACTCGTAGAGTGGAAATTCGGAAAATTTCAGAGAAATAAATTGAAAGCTTTGAGGGAGGGTGGAAGTGAGGTTAAATCATACAATTGGCTCGTGTTCTTCTGAAAGAAGTGCGTCGTCTTCGTCCAAATCCAACTCGATTTCTTCCACGTGGACATTTGGAATTCGACCATTTTTCCTGGGACTGAATAAAAGTCGAGCAGTTTCGTAGTCGACCTGGAAATGCTTTTTCAAAGATTCATTGTGGTCAAATGCGGAGATTTTTTGAATTTTTTCTTCATTGTTTTGTGAATCTAAATGGTTTTCTGCAAAAATGAACCAATAAAAATTTCACCATACCACCGTCAACTTACACATTTCAGAAAAAACAATTGTGGTTTAAACTGATCAATTGAGAAGAATTCCTACCTCCAATTGCACTTTGATTCCTCCTGGCTTTCTTTTCGAAACCTTCACTTTTTTCCCTTCATTATCTTTCATTTTCTTCGAAGTTGACGATACCGAACGATTATGCTTCCGTTTCCCGAGTGGAGAAGCAATGGTTGTTGGGTTGGATGGTGTTGTTGACAGAGTCTGAATTGATTTTTGAGCTTCGAAATCTAAAAGTATTTCTTAGCTTACCGATATAGATCTGGTGTTCTGTGGAAGCTGCGATTCATCGAATGGTTCATCTGGAGCTATACTGATATTCGTGACATTTTGTTTCCTTTGAATCTGCTTCAGAATCTCTTCCTGGTCGTCACGAAAACGACTTTCCACACTTCTCGTCTTGTTCTGAATTTTCGCAAGTTGTATTCTCTTATTCAATTTCTCTGTGTCTCTCACTCACATTCAGTCTCTCGGCTTTGAAATCCTCTTGCATGATGGAGCAATACGTGAAATGCACCCGTTTCCGGTACCTCCACTTGGAATTGTTCAGTGATTTTCTGAAAAGGAAATGTTCAGGGTTTTCTAGTTTTTAACCCAGAGATCATACCGAAACTTTCTGACATCCCACATGAAATTGTAGACTTGTACAGTAATTATTCGAAGGAACATTTGAACAAAAAGGAAAATCAAAGAGATGATTGCGACGAATCGAATCAACAAAGGATTCTTATCACAATAAATTAGCTCTTCATTGTATCCTCCAAAGTCAGCAGCCAAGGCAAAGGCGGCGTCAAGGAGAAGAAATACGCACGTGGCATATTGGAAGAAGAGTTGAAGACGAAGAAGACGGGCGTTTCTTTCCACAATTGAGATCACGAATATGACCTAAGAGGAGAACATTGTGGAGCTTATCGAACAATTTTGGAGCAAAATCTGTGATAGAAGGACCCCCATAATATTCAACTTCGAGCCAATTTATCTCGGTTTCTATTCAAGATATAACAAAGTTGTCAAATAACAAATTATTTGTCATAACATTGCAAACAGTTTATCAGTTGACACATTTGATATCTTGCATAGGAACCAAGCAAAATTAGCTTAAAGTTGACAGTGTGTGAGTCCTTCTATTATTGGCTTTACGGTATCTTTTGTCGAAATTCGATAAATTAAGTTTGCATTTTCCACAGAAAAAAACTCACTTTGAAAGAATAAAATACGGCATACTGTAGTGCAGTGAGGTAGAAAACAATAAGAGGTTTAGAGTAGACATCACACCAGGGAAGAAATATTGCATAGTGAAGCATCACGGCCAGAAAACATATCAAAGCGAAACTAGACTCGATTATACATACTAGGAGCGCCCTGGAAAAAATGGATTTTTAGGTTGCTTTTTAAAAAATGTTGTTGAAGCAAAAAGGTTTTTACAAAGTGCCGGGCTGATTTTAAAAAAACTTGCAAGGGGCGGGCCGGGTCGGGCTTTTTTAAAGAATTTTCATGGCCCGGCCCGCCTCGGTCCGGGCTTTCAGAAAAACATTTCCGGAACTTCGAAAATCCGGGGCCGCCGGGCCCTGATTTTGCAAGTATAATAACAATGGGTATATCTTTCGACATAAGTATCTTGGATGCACGAAAATTGATAGGAAAATAATATTACGTTTGACGAAGCTAATGAAACTTTCGAAGCAATTCCTAAAGTCTAGGTATTCTTATGATTGTTTAAAAATGAATGTTGTGATTTTCATGAGATGAAGCCACTTTGACAAACGATAACTCAGCTCCAAATTGATCAAGTAATTTGGAATTTGGCCAGTTTACTGATGAATATTTGAATTTCTGGACTCCAGTTTTGTAGAGTCTGTCCAGAAGTCAAAACTTTATTTTTGAAATTTCCAGTCTTCGGCACAAATCTGTCCATATGAAATATGTGATTTGAATTTTGGTATATTTTGAATTTCAAAAAAACAAAGTTCTTGAGCGATGTGATAGCCCTTTTCTACTTTTAAAACAAAAAACTCACCAAGAAGGTGTTGCTGGAACTGCTAGCGTTTTCCAGAAAAATGGCATCTGATATCGATGAGAAGAAGGATCAAATCGTTCAGCTCCCACTTGTTCGTAAACTTCTAACGGCGTGTTTATCGGCCATGGAAACCGCATTTCTGAAAAATTCCCTTTTTTTCCAAATGGTGGTCATACCGTAGCTCCAAAAAAACCCCAAAAATCTTATCCCTCCCTCCTTTAAGATTTCGTAACCCATTTCAAAATCGTCCTCTCTTTGAATCTCTCGTACCGTTTTGGAATTGAAGTTTCGGAATTTTCCTCATGTTGAAAAAAACCAAATCCTAGTTTTTCTCCCCTTCAAAATAAACATAGACCAGAGTACACATATTCTATAGAATTCCTTGTCTATTTCTTGTCTTCTTTTTTATCAAATTATCAGATCAAATCTAAGTCACTTGAATTGTCTCTGTACTCTTCCTCATGTCTTCCGCTTTCCTCCGAATAATTTCTCTTTCAGCTAAAAATGATGCGGATATAAAATCATAAAATGTTCTATTCTTTGATCTTTTTGATTGGAACGATTTTTTCTTGGGTGATGGATGATTGATGGATAGGGAAGTGATAAGCGGTTTTCAAAATTGTAGCAGTTCAAAAATTCAATTGATAAAGAAAGCATTGAAACAGAACACATTTTCGGGAGAAATTGATCTAGAGAATACTTGAAAAATCTTGTGATTGTCACATTTTTGAATAGTGGAAGGATCGAATTTCGAGCTGTTGTTGTTTTCACACATTCGGAGATCAGTTTATTTTCAAATTTTAGTTCAAAAATCTTAATTGAAAACTGAAAAATTAGGGTTTAATTTCCAAGATTGAGGTAATTATTTGAGTGAAACATTTCTGGGTTTGATTTGAAGATGATTTACTATTAGGGATTGGAAAAAATACAAAACAAATAAGTCATAGACAGCATCGATATGTGTGATTTTTTCGAAGTTTAAAGAAGTTAAATTTTCATAAACTTAAAAACTTGTAGTAATTTCAAAAGGGTCCTCTAACAATTAACGTTAAATGTAAGCCGATTTTCCTCAGTTCCTGTCAAAGATATCAAAAAGTTGCCAATTAATAAATTGTTTATCATAATATAACAAACATTATACAGTTTACACAATCTTGATGTCTTGCAGAGAAATTGCGATAATTGAACTCAAACATGACAGTACGGGGGGCCTATTACAGGTTTCACAGTAGTTGAACAGTTATTTTCTCACAAGTTTCAATAGTTCTTATAATTGTAGGAAATTTCGAACCAAAAATGGACAACAAAATATTCTAAAAAAGTGTAGAATGCTGACTTTTTAGAGGCTTATTATAGCTAGCTAAAATTTGCCGAAAAAAAACATCGTTATCTTTGAGCCCATATATTTCATTTTCTGTGAAAGATGTTTGAAAGACAACTGACAAATTGTTTACTGTAATATCAGCAACATTTTATCAGTTGATTACTTTTTGACATATCCTACAGAAACAATAGCCTCAAAGTTGACGATTTGGATGGCCTTCTATAAGAAAAATAGGAATTTTCTGTCCGATACTTTGATGGTAATCCGTAATGTATAAATTCATTTTTTAGAATGTGAGAATTCTTCAAGTTTCAAACTAACATACTTCCTGAATATATCTGACGACATAACACATAGTTATCCAAAAAATCTCTTTCACTGTTCAGAAATTTAAAATATCGTTCTCCAACGAGGCGCCACCCGAATTGAAGTCTTACAATTGGGTTTTTGTTAAGGCATCAAAATATTCCGAAAACATTTTTTTTGCAAAAAACAATGACATCAGAATCAATTCAGCAAAACTCAATAAAGCAGCAAATATTGGAACTTCAATTTTGGCATGATTTTACTACAGCAATTTTATTTTGGTTTTTATTTTTCTTTCTCATCGAAACTATATATTTAACGATCGGTTCACCTCAATAAACAGTAGAGAAAAAAACATAAATATCAATCCGAATCTTTTGATATCTCTGCGTCTCTCTGATCTATAAACTCTCTATTCCTCAAATTTCCCTTTTTATTCTATTCACACCAATCTCTCTTCAACATTTTGTCTCGTTTTGCAAATAAACAAGTTCTGATTATCTAATTGCTTCTAATGCGAGTGTAGATGACGACAGAGGAAAATGAAAAAAGAAGAAGAAGAAGAAGAAGAAGAAAGCAAAAATGAATAGAGAAGAGATCACTCACGTTTCGGATCGCTCAAATCATTCCACAGCTGGCTCCAATCCTTCTTGAGCCTTCGTCGAAACCTCCGGAATCGTCCGCCATCTTCTTCAAATCCTCCAGCCTCTTCGTCGTTCATAATTATTTTCTTCTTCTTTCTTTCCGACGTTTTCTCTTTTCTATTCGACTTTTTTTCGATCTACAACAAGTTACGCTAATCAAATCACCGACTGACGGAGGTGGAAGTTAGAGGATAGAATGGGATGGATGGCGTGGGTGGGTTAGGGAGGAAGAGAGGTTGGGATTGGAAATGGAGAAAACGAACGGAATGATGAAACAGTTGAAGAATGCGCGAGGAATTAAAAGAATTAGTTCGGAAATTGAGAAAGTGTGATTTAAGAAAAACAAAATAATATCTAGTTGATTGAAGTTCAGAAAAAACTACAAGATCCCCAAAATTGTTGAGCTCTCATCTTATTTTCTGAAAAAAAATCATCTTATTTTCTGAAAAAGGTATCGAAACATTTTAAGTTTTAAGTGATTTATCATAACATGATCACTATTTTATCAGTTGACAGGATTTTGATGTCCTTTACAGAAACCGAAATAATCAAGCTCAAAGTTGAAGTATAGGGTGGGCTTCTATGAAACTATTATTGTTCCTAGAACTTTTTGTCTGATGAACAGATGTCTTAAAAATCGTATTTTCAGAGGCTTGGTTGTAATCTCCATGTCTTTCACATGAACCAAAATAAATTTGCTCAAAGCTGACAGTTTGTGTGACGGGGATTTGTGTTTGCGAAGATAATCGATAAAAAATACCAAATACCGTAAAACCTGTAGTAGAAGGGCCGGGCCTTCTATTGTTCCAAGGTACCTCCAGAGGGCCCTTCTATTACAGGGGCCCTTCAATTAGAGGGGCCCTTCTATTTTTCCTTCCAGTTTTTTCCGAAATTTCGTATTGAAAAATTCGACGAAGTTTCGTTCAAAATTCATGAAAATCTGCCGATTTAACCAAAATTTAGCAAGATTTTCATCGAAAAATAGAATTTCAACAAATTTCTATTAAATTGTGAAGTTCCCGGAATATTTTTCACTGAAAAAATACGGAAGTTTTCTGATTTCAAAACACATTTTGAAAGGGGGGGGGGGGGTCCTTTTTCACGGAGGGCCCTTCTATTACGGGGACCATTCTATTACAGGGGTCTCTTCTATTTTTCGAAGCCCCTCTCAGAGGGCCCTTCTAATACAGGTTTTACGGCATAAAAAATATTTTTACATAGGAAATGAAAATTTGTTCCTCTATCCTACTTCAACTCGAACTTTTGTCTGATCTTCAGAGCCACTTGGAAAATTGAAGTCTCTAAAAAATATTCTATCTGGACTACAAATTTCAAATTTCAGTGATAGTATTAAAATTGATAAAAATCTTCTGAATGACAGCAATTTTCAGAGCTCTGGTGAAATTAAATTGAAATTTGAATGGAGTATTTCAAGTGAATTTTTCCTGAGGCTACACTTCAAACTACAAGAAAAGATAAACTGCCAAATTACACACAACTTCATGAGCGAGTGACTTCCGGTTTTTTTCAGAGTTATATTTTATTAGGGGGTTTAAATTTTTTGTATGGGTGACTTATGATACAAACTACGATTTATTTAAGAAAACTATATTTTTGAGATAAATTTAGAGTGGAACTAATTAGCTTTTCGGAATTACTAATTCCCAATTAAAAAACTTCTTACAATTGTAAAAGTTGACTGAATGGAAAAACTCTGAACATTTTCAGAATTATTCAAACTCTGAAAACCAAAAATGTAAAGGCTGAAAAAACGAAATTTCAGGAGAAAGCAGCTCACCCTAAGCATAAACTTTGAGCTTAATTATCTCGGTTCCTGTGAAAGATATCAAAATTTTGTCAACAAATGAAATATTGGTGATGATTATGATAAATGTTTTATCAGTTGACAAGACTTTGATATCGTTCACAGGAATAATAATTCAGCTCAAAGTTGACGGTTTGAGTGGGCTTCTATTAGGGGAAATCCGGTATTTGGAGTTTGATGGAGAATGTCAAATAGTATTGGTCCGAAGAAATAGTTTCAAAACGGATGTTTCAATTCAAAAAAAGAACCCAACACAAAAGTGAACCCTAAATAAAATGGGTTAACCTACAAAAAAGAAAAGTGTATTGAAGGGAAAGGGTGTTGATTTTACAGCCAATATCAATACCTAGAAGTGATTTTGATTGATCGATTAGCCGTCATCAAAAACATCTTCTGCCTGTCCCATCAGTTCCAGTCAAAAAAACATAAAACAATTCGAACGAAAATGTTATAAAAGAAAATGAGATAAATAGAGTGAGAGATAGTGAGAGGAGTGTTGCCAATAAATTGTGAACCAAATGTGAAACAAAAAAGAAGAAAATGATAGAAACGAGAGATGCGGATAGCAAAACGGATTCTGATTGGATTGGGTCGATGCGCAGATTGAAAACGAAGAAGAAACTGATGATTCGAATCAGAAAAAAATAGCTTCGGAACTTTTCGGGGGGGGGGGGGGGGGGCAAGTAAGGATCAGTGATATCAGTGGAGGGAGGATGGGGAGAAAATATTTTTTTGCGTTAATTTGCACGATTTTTTCATGATTACACAATAAGGATGAAATTGATTGGAGAAGCGGAAGAGGAGGATTTCCGTAGGAAATATGTAGTGTTGCGAAAAGTTTCGGATCTTTTAGGGTGCGGTTGAGAACTATTAGAGAAGGAGAGATAGTGAGAAAAGATCAGAAATATTCTTTGATTTTTCAAGGAGATGACTCATAGTTCAGTTTCATAGCAAATTGGTTCTTTGAAATTAAAAACTGTAATATTAGTATGCCGTATTTCCTCTAATAGAGGCCCATGGGCTTCTATTTTTCAACCTCTTTCTGGGAGTGGACTAATATTAGAAAAAAACGCTCAAATTCGAGGGTTTTTGATTTTTAACTGAACTGGAATAGTTATAAAATGACAAGAATTAACGGAAATTACCAGAAAAATTAACAAAAAAGAGTATGTCTGCACTAACCGAAAAAAAAGCGCACAGCCAGGGTGGGCTTCTATTAGAGGTGGGCCTCTATTAGACGAAATACGGTATCAGGAAAAGAATGAAGATTACTCAATGAAACTAACTTGAGGACTGAGGAAAGAATTTTCTCGGACTGACCAGACTTTTATGAGTTTTCCCTGATCTTTCCCAAAAATTTTTGGAGTCAATCAAAAATATTGGCAACATTTCTGCCATAATAAAAAGTTTGCAAAAAACTTTTCAACATTTTCCGATCTTCAGAATTGAAGAGAGAAAAAATCGAGCCCTGATTTTTCAATAATGATATATGCTGCCTCCCAAACTCTTCATTTTTTTTAAATTTTGCGGTTGTGTTTCCTATCTGTGATTTGAAACGACTTTCAATTACCTACGGAAGTCTTAGAATAATTAAAAAAGTCCTTCCAACTGTGACATTGTAAAATCTGGCTACCGTATTTCCGCTAATACCTAGAAGTCGACCCAAACTGTTAACTTTGAGCTCAATTATCTCTAATCCTGTTAAAGATATCAGAAATTTGTCAACTGATAAAATATTTGTGATATTTTGATAAACAGTATGTCAGCTGACAAATTTTTGATATCTTTTACAGGAATCGACATTATTGAGCTCAAAGCTGCTGGTACGGTATGTAACTTGATTTTTTCAATATTGTGTGTTTTTGAAAAACCTCTAATTGAAGGGCACCCAGGAATAACATTTAGAATGGATAACCTCGAAAAATAAAAAAAAATTGAAAAATACATCAAATGACCTCTTGATTATCTAGTCTACCTGATTTTTAAATTCTAGTACTCTCAGAAAAACAGACGAAAACACAGATATCATCGAAAATAGGGAATTAATCAGTTCGACGTCTTGTAGCCCAGCAGACCACATTCTCTTTAGTTTGTGTCTTGATCTTCCGAGACCAGATTTCAATTGGGCTAGATCAGTTTGAGATCAGTTTAGGCGAGATTCGTCCAATGAATTATTATCGGTCAAGGATTGATTAAGGGAAATTTATGTTTTCTGTGTTTTGGTGTCTCTGAATTTATCTTCGCTTTCTCATGTACAGCTTGGGATCTTTACTGATACTTTTTTGCTTTTTACTTTTCTGAAATTTTAGGTTCATGAGTTCAGATCAAAACCACCTCATGCGTAGATCAATTCCTCTTTTCCCCCGTACTCAAATTCCCTTCCGCTTCACTCATTCCGTACACCTTCAACCCCAACGTCTTCTCCTTTTTCTAACCAATTCCTGTCCCTAGACATGTCGATTAAAGTGCGTTTAAAGACCGAAATATCATCATTAATTGGTCGATTGTTGTAAAAATGTCTCAATTTCGATTCTCTTTCAGATCCTCTTTGAACAAATCGAACAGTCGACGAAACACGTTCTATGTGATTGTGAACTTCAATCAGTGACGATTCGAAGAGATGAAGAGCATGGGTTGAAAGAAGAAGAGAATAGCAAGAAGAAGGACAAAAAGGAACCGATCTTATATAGAAATGAATGTTGTGGAACTGATGTGGAAACAGAGGATAAGTGTGTTGGTCCGAGTATTCTGAAAGTCAATGTGGCCACAAAATACGAGTTTCAGAAGTTGAATGCAACTCAGGTAAGTTCGGTTGATAAAGTTAATCTTTTTGAGGGAAAACTAATCATATTTAAACTTTGAAAGTATTGGAGGTTTAACCCTTATAGGGAAAGCTTCGTGGTCTTAAAGAGGACTTGAAAAACAATCTGAAAACCTAAAACTCCAAAGTTTGGAAATTCTGTAACTAAGAAATTTTGAAAGTCTAAAAATTTGAAATTCTGAAAATCTGAAACACTAAAAATCTGAAATTCTGAAACTCCGAAGTTTTGAAACTCTGAAATTCTCAAATTCTGAAATTCTGAGTATCGAAATCCTATAAATCTGAAAATCTGAAACCGATGTTGAAATTCTAAAATTACGAAATTCTGAATATCAGAAATCCTAAAATCTGAATACCTGAAACTCCGAAGTTCTGAAATTTTCATATTTTGAAAGTCTAAAATTCTGTATTTCTGAATATACGAAATCCAAAAAATCTAGAAATTGGGCACCGAAGTTCTGAAGTTTCGAAAACCTAAAATATGAGAATCTAAAACTCTGAAATTCTGAAACTTTTTAAAAACTTCCATAATTTTCAGATTCACCGAGCCATAAACGACCCAAAACTCGGCGAGTTCCTGGTCCGTGTGTACCCGCTGCTCAAGGAAGAACTCGACAATTCGGATCTTTTCAATAAACTCTGACCTGCTTTTTCAATACTTTTTGATATCCAAACAACACTTATTATTATGTTTACCACTTTTTATTATCCGCCAAAATAAACAAAATAACCGAATCTTACAAAAAAAGATTCAATTTTTCAAAAAAGAAAAGGAAAGTGAGAAAAAATGACGAGAGGGTTGAGGATTTTAAAAGCTATGGAACGGAGAAAAATACAATTTTCAGAGAGAAGAGCAGCAGAAAATTTGGGACAGAGAGAGTAATACTTTTGATAAAATAATCATATTATGAAATTTCTGGATGTTTTGAGAGAGGAGATATTATAGAGATATTCACGGATTGGTAGGAGTTGGGGGATAAGAAACATAGTTTTCAGAATTTTTGGGAAATAAATTCACAGGGGACTGAGGACGCTAACAGGATTTTTTGTTCAAGGGGGAGGATTTCATTTGGCAAAAGCTTTAAAAACGCACAGGATCAGTTTGGAAAACAGGAAAAATGAGTCCGGAAAAATGAAGAGCCATGACTTGGCAAGATTATTAGGGGAAATGTCAAAAAAGAGTATTTGCTGGAGGACAAAATGGTAAGGGAGCAGAAAAGAAGGTTAAGGAGACATCACATTAATGTGTTGTTCTTCGGAAGTTTCGTTGAGCTCGATGGCAGTTTTTAGGGAACGAAGAAGATGGAGCACACTGTTGAAAGGCTCATGGGGGTTGAGGTTTTGATGTCGTGGTAGAGGATTGCCAAGGTAGGCAGTCAGTTTTTGGATGTTTGTCTGCAGATGAAGAAGTTGAATATTAAAAAAATTGTTTTTCCAGATTCGAGGATCAATTTTTTCCAGATTCGAGAATACAGTAAACGTTTTTAATAGAAGGGCATCTTTTACTTGCTTTTTGAGCCTACAGAACCGTCATAAGATATACAAAACCGTATTTTTCACTGGTTTTTGGCCATTTTGAGGGGTTTCAAGCTTGGCTCTCAACTTTCCAATCACGTTGAACAATTTTGAGGGTGTAAAACAGACCTAGATTCAAGAAATGGCATTCACAAAAGTTTTTCAAATTTTCTTATTTTTTCAGCTATTTCTCAACTTCTGAAGAACCCCTTTTTGGCCATTTTTGCACTGAAAACGTAAAACAGTTGTCTCTCATAAAATTGACACTTAGATGAAAAACTAGAAGATTTCAAAAAATTCTGTGAACGCAAAGTTTTTAATCTAGGTCCGCTTTACACCCTTCAAACATTTTCAAATTGACCGAAAAACTTGAAAGCCTATCTCCAGACTTCTGGAAATGACCAAATCAACTGAAACACGCTTTTGTATATCTAATTGACTGGTACTGTATATAGGCTTAAAGTGCATGTATAGGATTCCCTTCTATTAGAGTCTATTAAGACCAAAACAATTTCATCTGCCCCTCCTACCTTCAAAGAATTCAATGAATCCCATGTAGCTTTTGAAAGATTTTTTGAATTTTCCACAAATTCACTCAATGAAATATTGGATCCACTGTGCTCCATCTCTTTCTCAGCTCTCACTGTTTTATCATCCAACACTGTCAATTCTTCTACGATGCCGTTGTAGTCTTCATCTTCAATCTTTTCAAGCACATCGATGATACCAAACAATTCATCCAAATCCAAATTGATTTCATCCTTGAGAATCGTGACAAGAATCGATTGTACAGATTGGCCAGATGGAGTATTAGATTGAATGATTTGCATAATATGAGAGACTGGAAATCCATTGATGGATAGGCACTGACGATCATCAAAGAATCCGATATTGAGAATCGCCAAAACGAGTTGCATCACATTTCGAAGTGCTCTACTCTCACAGAGAACCTTGACAGCGACTTCAAACTTGATGATGGTATCCTTAAGTGTTTCCATTTGTTCTGGGAACATGTGAACATGCTTCATGGTTTCCAGCTTCTCCTCAATGTGATCTATCTTTGTAAGGCCCAACAAAAACTCCTCATTCGGATCCATTTTGGAGCTCTCCATTTTTCGAAGCAATTGAGCGTCACTGTTGGTTGGGGAAATTTCGATAAGAAGGTTCACTAAGTTCAGGTCCAGACACTTTACATCCATTCTATGGATGGCAAACATCACTTCAAAAAGTTGAACACTGACTCGTGACCGTACTTCTTCTACAGTAACCCGCATATCATCACTCATAATGAAAGTGGAATAAACCTCGTTTGCCTCGATTTTCCTGGCAATATTTTCAGCATACAACTCCATATTAATACGACAATCGTTGAAAATAGTTCCCTTCATTTGAAGATCATTCAACACTGGCCAATCAAAACCTGTGCTCAAGTACTTGGGTTGAGCATTCTCTCCTGGCTTGATTGGTTGGATGATTCCACCTCCGAATGACACGACACTTGGTGTTGGGGACGTTGTCGAAGTGATAATGTTCTTGATGTCTTCGATTGGCATCGTGGGAACATCTTTTTCCTCTGGCTGGAAATATTAGTTTTCTTATCAAATGATCTATGAAGCATGCGTATTATTACCTTGATCATGAAATTGTTAACAGCATGCTTGTTGGCCGAAAGCACTGAGTTATTGTTGTTGTTTGCGGCCAACACTGTCGGGAAAATTGACTGGAGAGGGTTGAATCTGGAAGTTTCAATGTTATAATACGTACCCTAAACATCAAGTCTACCTAAAGTTCCGTAGTGACTGGAAAGCGGCTTGCTGCTGTTGCTGAGCCTGGATGGTTGCCAACAATTCACTTTGGGATACTGTATGCCTTCGGGATGGGATGGTTGATGCCACACTGCCTCGTCTGCCTCCATGTGGTGGACTGGTTGGTGATTTTGGAGGAGATGACCTTCCTTGCATTGGCCGTCCTCGTCCACGCACTGAAAAAATGTACCGTAACCTGGAAAGAAATCTTCTAAACTATACCATTTGGGAAACAGAGCTTCATGAACTCCTCCACTTGTCCGGCATATTGGTCCATATAACTTATTGGGTCGCCAGCCATTCCATGGAGTGAGACCATGTGACTTTTTACATTGTTCTTTGAGTATGTCGATGTGAAATCGCATGCTGGGCACTGGAACATTGGCTTCGCCACGTGACACTGACGAATGTGGCATGGAAGTTTTGAGGAGTGTACATCTTTTTGGCAAATGACACAGAATTGAAATGTACATGGATAGGACTGAAAACGAGTTTATTTTAAATATACCTACAGTAAGACAAGCTACAGTATCCGGTTTGACCATACTTGTCAAATTCCGAGCTGGGCTCGGCCATAGTGACCTGGACCGGCGGACCAGGTCGAAAAAATTCTTTCGGCCCGGTCCGGGTAGCTGATTTTTTGAAAATTAGTTACGATGTTCCGTCCGTGAAAAAATATCGAAACTTTGAAAATTTTTCGAAAATTTCAAAACAAATTTCTGAATTTTGAAGTTTTTGAGTTTGGCCGATAGGGCCCGACCCGAAAAACTTTTCATCTTGACCCAACCCGGCCCAGACAAGTATGGTCTACAGTATCCGTTGTAACCACAGTAATCCTACACAACTCACCCTTTTTCTATCACTACTCGAAGATGACGACTGATTCTGACTCTGACTTTGACTCTGTATCTGCTGATTCTGCTGTTGCTGTTGTTGTAGTTGTTGCTGTTGGATTATCTGATGTTGCTGCTGCTTCTGTTGTTGATTATGATATTGTACCATTGCCTGTTGTGCTTGAAAAAGTTGACTGATTTGAAGAAATGCGAGATCGGGATTGAAAATCGGCGATGTAGTGATGGGAGGTGATTCCTGAAAGTTTATCTTGAAAAAGTATGCACTATAAACGCTAGGCTACAACATTTGAGTCATTTGAGCTCGTAAAGATACTCAAATTCATTCTCTGCTCTTAAAATCCTCGAGTACCCAATTTTAAAAACTTAATCCCTGGATTATTTTGAGATTACTTTTTGATCCTTACCTGTTTTACGAGGGAATTCCCTGGAACCTGATTGGTAACTGTGCTCATGAGATTTGATAAAATATCCATGGATGATCCATCTGATGCAGAGGTGTTCGTAGGAGATGTTGACGAAGAGCAGTCGTCGGTGGTACCACGGGCGGACGTGGCTGCTGACGGCTGACTGTTCGGAGGCAGAAGGCTGGGCGCCGTGGGCGCTGACGATGCCAACATCATGGCGTCGTGTCTGAAAGAAGAATTTCTGAATTTGTATTCTGAATTTGTGGAACAGAAATGATTCAAAGAGTGACGCTGGTAAGATACAAGTTCAAAATTTGGAGTCTCTCGAGATACGTAACTGGTTGGGAGTGAGTCAATAGGTAGGGATCAACGCTGTTTTTCGGAGTCTTTGAAAAACAGCCGACACAAAAACCGGGGACCATTAAAACGAAACCACAAGGCGTTTTCGTAGGCCTACCAAAACTGCTTTCTCTCCAGAAAAGAAGTCATTCCGCTAAGCTCCAGGAGAGCCCCGAAAAGAAAACCGCAACTTTGTCGTGTTTCAAGTTACCCCCTCCTTTTCTCTTTTTACTCTTATGAAAATTTTTGAGAAAGGGACCCCATGATTCTGGTTTTGCAGCAATGGCAGATCACTCAACTATAATCCAACTTCTTCTTCATTTTTCCCCTTTCCTTCCCCTAGTAATCCTTAAAGTGGGGGAGCGAGCAGCCTGATGAGTTGGCATATTCATGACACCGAAGAACCTCGTGCTCATTCGAAATCAACACAACTTTAAAGGGCTTCAAATTAGGCGAGCAGAAATTTAAGAGAGATTCCCATCAAAATCCAAACAAAGTATCATCGAAAAAATAATCTGCGCCGCATCGTCGTTCGTGTTCTCTGTCAACGATAACTAAGCGCGCTAAGGATTAGGAGTATTTTTCACTTCCGAAATTTTACAAAACATGCTTATCTACGTAGTAGTATTAGGCTATTTTATTGTAGGATAAGAACTGTTACGTGGCAGTATCATCCGGTCTGAAATAGTGACCGGGTGGAAAACCGGGAAATATAAAATAGTTGGGACGAATAGTGGAAAAATACCAGATGAGATGTTGGCCGCCTACAGTATCCCGCTATGCCATTTCGAGGACTTCAACAGAAATTAGTTGAATTTCAGAGTGTGAAAAATGAGAATCGCAGAAAAAAAGCTTCATTTTCGAGGTTTTTTTTATTCGTGTTATTCAAAAAATTACAGTAGATCTCTGATAAATTTATGAACGTTTTGAAATCAGCAGAACACTGAAAACACAAGGAAAAGTTGAGAAAATTTTCATTTTTAAATTGGCCCTAATTTGATTTCTAAAATGAATATAATCATGTATTGCTTCTGAGTTTCTCATTTGAGATATGCGCCTTGAACCGAAAATTTCAAAATCTAACAAGGGAAGTGTTTTCGGACACCGGAATTTGTTGAAAATTTGAACAAGTATACTATATGAGTCCCTAAGCATGGTGCCATTTTTAGTTTTCCCCCTCGGCCTCCAGAAGCTGAAAATTTGCGTCTGAAATTTTAACGGGCTTTTAAAGGCCTTTGAGCGCGCCTTCCCTCTTTCTTATATTCATTGAGGAACTAGGAGAAAGCAGCCAGCAGTGGTGTAGTGGTGAGGACTGTCTGACAAGGGTCAGGTTCGATCCCTCTCTCTTGATTTCTCTTTTGTTTTTTTTTAACACTTCTGGAAGTCAAAAAAAAGTTGCATAATTTTTTTATTCAGGTTGCCTTTTTTTTGGAAAATTTTTGCATTGGAAAAAGGCAAAATAAATAAGGAACTATTTAATTGAGAACTATTTGAGCTTCTAGTCAATTTTCGAAGAACTATTATCTTTTGAAGTTTCGAAACAAAGCACATTTTTGCGATTTCCAAATGAATATAGGCTACTAAATCTCGTGAAAATACTTATTTTATCGTTTCCATACGTTTAGAAATCATTTGAGCACAATTAAAAATTTTTCGAAAATTTGTAAAAATTCCAAAGGGGGTACCACATGGCGACTTTTTTGTCGAAAAAAATTTTTTTTTGAAAAACGAAGAAACTTTGTCAGATTGTAGAGAAACTTTTGAAAGTACGGTTTACATACGAAAAACTCCGAACAACTTTTTTTACCCCCTTCAAAAATTCACTCAAAAACTGAGGAAATAGCACTGAAATCACTTTCAGAGCTCATAACTTTTTTCACAGGGCCGAGGGGGAAAAACTGACTTCAGTTCTGTGATCAACGTGCCCAAAAGTACCAATGACAAAAGTTTGAGCAAATTCTCAACCGGTGTCTGAAAAGACTTCCCTGGATTGTATTCATTTTAAAGCCAGGGGAATTCCGAAATATAAACGTTGGCACACAAATAAGCTAGATACAGTAGTTACAGTATAATAAGCCGAAAATGAGCCTAAAAATCATGATCGTTAAAAATGGCCCACAGCCAACTATGAAGACGGCCTTCTAAAAATTCAGGCGCTGTAATTTGCTCGAATTTCTGAAGCAAGTCTGTCACCAAAAATGCATCAGAAAGTTGAAGCAAATGAGGTCCTTCTCTCGTTTTTGTCTTCGATAGTAGGCTCCATGAGTCGTAACCGAAAAAGGCCACAAAAGGATTAAGCGCGCGGTTCCCCAGTACTCATGGTCCCACCGACGTCTTCTGATGCCTTCGACGCCTTCTTTTCCCCTTTCCAATATCTCATTTGTCATATTCAATGTGCCAGTATGCGCAGCGCCATAAGCGCGGCGTACTGCGAAACATGGGCTTACCGATGGGATTACTACCATCTTGAAATGAGAAGAAAAAGGAGGCGAATGTCATCGGACACACATTTTTCGGTGGGAAAGGGAAAGGTCCCCGACAAAAACATTGATAATGACTGGGAGAGGACACGAATATGAGCCTAGGAGCCAAAACATTATTTTTTGGCGGCAGGGAATTCGGTAATGGGATCTTAAGATGGGGATGAAGGATAAGGGAAAAGGATAGGGATGAAGTATGGTCTAGATAATAGAGCCGGAAGGAAAATTGGGATATGTGGATGGGGGATTTAGGGAAAAATTGTATTTTGATTTCGAAAAGACTGCTGGAAAATTTAAAGGGCTAAGGCTGACATTATGGATCATAGCCTACGTTGAAAGGAACCTTCGGAAACCTGAAGCCAAGAGGTAAGATGCCTAGAACATGGTATTATCCAATTCAAAATTCAAGGCTAGTTTATGGCCCAAACTAATAAATTTCAGAGACTGAAATCCTGGAATTCTGAGTTTTAATTTTTGCTCTCCACCGCCTCTTCTTAAAAAAAACTGACGTTAGTTTTTTTTTCAGAATCACTCTATTCCTTGTTTCAAAAATGACTCTTTAATTCAGATCAACCCCCTTCTTCTTTCGCCAAAAACGAGTCAATCCCAGATAATTCTAGATCACTTCAGTCATTTTTCCCCAGTTTTCAGCTCAATCTCTTTCCAATTCCAGCTCATTTACGCAAGCCATAGGTCGTTGTTATCCGTGTCAGTATAAGAAGGTGTGATCTAGAGAATGTGTGTCTGTTTTTACGGAATTAACTGCACACATACTCTTAGGCGATGGGTTTTATTGAAAAAGAGCTCATCTCCAGCTCATTTTTTGTTGATGCGATCGGGTTTGAACCTTGAGAAAAAGACGGCTGTGTCAAAGGTAAAGTCGGATTTAGATGAAAGGAATGAGGATGAAATTATGATTATGGTAGGGATCGTATTTCGGATATTTGGAATTTTCAGATGTGAAAGTGAAATTCTAGATAGTGATTAGGGCTTTGGTAAAAGAGAGTATCAAGATTTTAGGCGATAAAAAAGATTTTTTCAGCATACTTGTAAAATTCCGGGCCGGCCCGCCAAAGCCCGGGCCTGAGGAAAGTTTCAAGGTCCCGGTCCCGGCCCGGAAGGCCCGGTAGCAAAAATTTTGTCATTTTGAACCGAATTTTGAGCTCTTAATACAATTTTCTATATTTTTTGTGATTTTTGGATTGTTTGTCTGTTTGATCAAAAAATATTTTAAAAAACTCGAAAAAAATTTTTTGATCGAAAAAAATCACATAAGGGTCCCCCTCATGTGTTTTCTGAAATTTTCAAAACTTGTGGAATGAGAGGCCCGCCGGGCCGGGCCGGGCCTCCGAAATTCAGGAAAAAGCCCGGCCCGGCCCGTTACAAGTATGGTTTTCAGTGTCCTTCAGGTTACTGTATTTTGGAAATTTCTAAAAGCCTCAGATAAAACTTGTTTTCAAGAAAACCTCTGATAGAAGAGCACCCAAAGACCATGAACACTCTGGTAGAGTGCCACCCAAACAGTCAACTTTAAGCCTATGTACAGTACCAGCCAATAAGATATACAAAAACGTGTTTTTCAGCCATTTTGACCATTTTCTGGAGGCTGGAACTCGTCTATCAAGCTTCCGATCCTTTTGAAACTTTGTAGAGTGTGAAACATTCCTAGATTGAAAACTTTGCATTCACAGAACTTTTAAAAAATTCCTAGTTTTTCCGCCATTTCGATTTCTGAAAGACATTTGTTTTTCACTTTTTCAGTACAAAAACGGGTCTTCCAGAAATCGACCTATAGCTGAAAAACTAGAAAATTGCAAAGAATTCCGTAAACGCAAAGTTTTCAATTTAGATCTGTTTTACATTCTCCCAAATTTTCAAAACAATTGGAGCCTTGACAGCCGAGCTCCAGACTCCTGAAAATGAGAAACAATTAACTGAAAAAATAGGTTTGTGTATATCTTATTGAACGATACTGTATCTAGCTCAATTCTTTCTCAGTTTTCCTCGGGTTACTGTACTTTAGGAATCTCTAGAACTTTAGAAAGCTCTAACAGAAGAGCACCTACAGTAACCCACTTCACTACGCATTGTATCTTACGAAAATTTGCCCTCTTTTATAGTGCTATTTATTTTTGTTTATTTTTATAGTACTGTTTTGTAGGCTCCGTTCTGATATGTTCCGGCTGTTATTCTTCCCATAAACACCATTCAAAAAAGTGACCTTCTCTGCGTCTCCAACCAAAAAAAGAAACCATATGACTTTTCGGAGCAAAAGTTAAGTTTCTTTTCAGCTGATAACGATTGATTACGCAGCGACTGAAAAACTGAGAAAAAATTGTGGAAATCGGGGAGAGAGCGGCGGGGCGAGTGTGATTAAAACTTGAATTTGAACCTTTTCTGGTGTCAAACAAATAATAATTTGTTGGGCGAAGAAATGTGTGGCGTTATCGAGGTCTTCCAGAGAAATTGGAAGACAAAATATTGTGTTGAAAAAGGAGAGAGGTGTTGGTCATCTACCCATCCTGATGTCATTTCTAGCAACTTGTGCTGCTGCCACAACATTTTCAAATAAAAATTAAAATGACTGTGATGTTAGTGTGTGACTGAAGAGAATAATTTGGAACGGATGGGGAAGATGGATGAAGAAAATGCGCCAAAGTTCCAGGGAGCGGAGCGCCGAATATCTAGGCGACTAGGAGGAACACAGCCACGCCCACTTTTTCCGGCAAGAGGGACAAGGATAACGGGATTTCGGAATTGATGAAGAGGGTGAAGAGTATTCGCGGAGAGTACTGTGTCAACGTTGTGGGCGGAGTCTACGGAACCTTACAGTATCCAGTGAGAACCTAAGGTCTAGGAAACCTTTTTGGTAGTTCCATTGTAGATCATTTCGCGTTTACAGTAGTTTGTTGTCTTCAACTGCCCCAATTACACGGTATCGCGGAAGGGAACGTCGGAAAGTCCTAAAATTGGCACCGAGCGACTTTAAACGCGTTGCGTGTCGGCGTTGCGGCTTTTAGCTGAGGCGGGGAAGAGATTGAGCCAGAAAATAGAAATTATTGATCTAACAAGAAAAAATGAAAAGAATGTGAAATTCATGATGATACCACATTTTTTATTTCGAATGAGGTTTAATCGAATTAGATGGGAAACGCTGGGGATTGGTCGGGAAAAAAAGAATGCGGAATTTTGAGCCTTTTTAAAAGAGACATAAAGGGGGTTTCGTCTGAAACGTATGATGGTTTTTCCGGAAATTCAGAATGATTATAGCTGAAGCATATGGAAGTTTTCAAAAACATTAAGAGATTGGCATACAGTAATCGCTCGAAGATTAGAACTACAAAAACGATTCGATAGTGAGAAAGTCACTATGAACCTTTATTTCTGCATATCGTCGTAATAGTGTTTGCTAAGACTACTCTAGGTTATGGTATGGATCAGGCTGGATACCGTAACCCATGACTATACCAAATTTCCTGTCATTTTTAACTTGGTAGAAAACATCCTCTAATTTTTCGATAGTTACCGTAGTCCCGGGAAAAGTTTCAAACCAAAAGTTTCAAAGAGTCCTGGAAGCAATCTCACAGTAGTTCGATATTACGGTAATACGGTAGTCTTACGGTATCACGGTAGTGTTACGGGGTGTTAGCCTTATGGTAGCTCAAACTTGAAAAAAGTCTAGAAAAATTCGAACTACAAAAGTTTCGCAACTTCTTCCTATAACTCTGAAAATGTTTCAACCTTCCCCTCCCTCTTAATAATTTCAGTCTTTGTTCAACCCATTTTGTTTGCTCCACTTCCTATCGTAAAATAAACTTGCACTTTTATGTTCCGGTAACTGTTTTTGACATTTTCAAGCTAGACTTTTAGGCTTGCTCGTTTGATAATATAGGCTAATTTTTCCCCTAGAATTTCGAACATTTATCTAGCTGTCAAAGTTTTCTTTTTTTTTATTCCGGTCATGCGGTACTATGATGACAGTTGCATTCTTATCGGAAAACAAAAAAGCCGTTCATCAAGAATTGAAAAGTGCGAGGAGCGAAAGTTTTGGACTCGAGCCAAAGAAGGCTAGGTTCGGAAAAAAGGAGAAAGTTTTGGGAAACTGAAAATGACACACAAACACGAAAAATGCACAGTTATCAAAAACCTAATGTGCTTCCCTCGGGGTCGTCGACACGAATAAGTACAGAATTCTTGGAGGAGGTGGAGAGAGAAAATAGGGAAAAAAGTTGTGTGCAACAGATGTCGAAGTAAACAACTTATCAGAGAACTTAACAGTTGATCAGTTATGTTATCATTCAGAGCATCAGAAATAAAATAAAGGAAGAATCGGGGTTTTTTCGAAACTTTTTTGGGCGCGGGTAGATGGGTGGATGATCAGCGGCGGAAGTTAAATTCCAGACATTTTCAAGTTTCGTTGGGAGAAAAATTGTATTCGTGTGATTTTTGAATACTGGGGGGTGGAGTTTAAATTTTGAAGCTCGTCTAAAGTCCTGGGACCACCGTATCGTTACTCTTCTACCGGGCAATACTGTAAAGCCTCTATTAGAGTTGCACGCTAACTCTGAGCCCATTTTTCTCAGTTCCTGTAAAAGATATCAAAAAATCGCCAACTAGCAAAATGTTTATCACAAAATTAAACATATTTTTCAGTTAACCAACTTTCGATATCTTCCAGAGTAGCCGAGAAAAATTACCGTAAATGCTCTACTAGAAGCCCAGTCTCACGGCCAACTTTGAGCTCAATTATCTCGGTTCCTATAAGAGATATCAAAAAATTTTCAACTGATGAATTAATAATCATAAAATTACCTTTATTTTTTCAGTTAACTAATTTCTGGTATCTTGCATAGGAACCGAAATAATTGAGCTAGGGTGGGATTAATGGTTACTGCACCTTGAGAAGAACTTCTAAAAACCTCAAATGAAACTTTGCTAAGAAAACCTCTAATAGAAGGGCGTCCACATAAAAAATCATGGTCTCA